AGAGAGAGAGAGAGAGAGAGAGAGAGAGAGAGAGAGAGAGAGAGAGGAGAGAGATTGGCCCCTGCCTCCAGGCAGCAGCGACATTGGTTCCCCACAGCCATCATATCTGTCACCCATTCTTAGACCCTGAGGCCCAGACCAGCTCAGACCCCAGCCACTTCTGTCCTTTGGGGAAAAGCTCAAACCCCTGTCCTGACAGTCAAGCCTCTGCTGAGCCTTCGAGCCTCAGCTGAAGTACCCCAGGCCCTCAGCGCTGCCCCTCCACCACACTGTCCCCAAGACACGGAGACGGCCAGCAAGCCAGGCTTCCTCCCCAGCCGCCCCATCTTTACTGTACCCTTCACACAAAGTGCCATTCGCCCCATCTCTGTTCCTCAAAACCCTGTGTCCATCAAGCTCCACATCCAATCTTGCTTCTTCCTTTCTTTTTTAAAAAAATACGTTTTCATTGATTTTAGAGAGAGAACAAGGGAGAGAGAGAGAGAGAGAAACATCAATCTGAGAGAACATTGATCAGTTGCCTCCCAGGAACTGAACCCACGACTGGAATCGAACTGGTGACCTCTGGGTGCACGGGAAGATGCTCAACCAACTGAGCTCACCGGCCAGGGTGCTTCTTCCTTTGCCGATCCCCTAGCTGGGTGGGGTCCCTTCCTCTGGGCACCCCCAACTCTGTGGACCTCCTTCAGGTCAGTGCTAAGCCCAGCCTGCCTGCCCAAAGTCACAGTCCCTGTGTCCGACCCCAGCCCCACTCCGCACTGGCCCACGGCCCCGAGATGCACCAACACTCACATGCAGCCTCCTGTCCCTGAAGCGCCGTGGTGGCCCTGAGTGTGTTGGAGCAAGGGGAAGCCAGGCATGAGGCTCCACACCCTCAGCCCAGGCTGTGACACCTCTGATGGGCGGGCAGCTTCCTCTGTTTCCTGGCAGGGCTGTCTCTGACTGAAATAGCCCCTGTGGGGGCCACCCCCTCCCTAACACCCCTAACACCAAGGTCTGGCGGAAACTGGGCCTAAGAGGAGCAAGGAGGTCGAGGAAAGGTCTCCTTCCCGGAACCCTCCCCTACCCCGGCGGAGGAAAGAGGGCGATGAGGAGGAGAGAGAGGGGAGGGG